CAGTGGGCTGGGTTATTAAGAAAATGTCTTTTAAAAATCGGTATTTCGGTATACCGAAATACCGAAATTTAAGAATTTTAATACCGAGGACCGTACCAAAATACCGAAATTGCAATACTGAATTAGACCAAAATACCGAAAAAACCCAAAACCGAAATACCGAATTATTTCAGTTCGGTTCGGAATTCGGTTTTTCGGATTTTATACCCACCCCTAGGATTAGCTTACCTTATCGTTGATGATGAAAAATCCAGCTCTCCCAACAATCGCCCAAGCCAAGAAAATATGAGAGAAAATGGCCAAATCCCGATTTTTAAAACATCTCTCTGCCTCCAGCACTTTCCGCACCTGCGGTCCCTCGACCGCTTTCGCGGTTCCGCAGGTGCGGCCCCACTACCACATCTGCGATCCTTCCCAAGCTGCCCTTTTTCCGCTTCTGCGTCTTCTCCACAACAGGTGCGGTCCCGCATCTGCAGAAAAACGACCGCATCTGCGGTCCCTTCACTTCCAGTCCAAAACCGCATCTGCGGTTCTTCGGGCCGCTTCTGCGGCACCGCACCTGCGGCCCAATTCTCACAGGTGCGGTTATGACAGCAACCAGCAAGTTCAGCCTTCCAAAAATTCCATTTTCGATCCGTTAACCACCCGGAATCCACCCGAGGCCCTTGAGACCCCAACCAATCATACCAATCAGTCCCAAAATACATTACGGACTTGCTCGATGCCTCAAATCGTAACAAACAACGCTAAAATCATGAATCGACCTCCAATCCAAGCTTTATGAACTTTAGAATTTCAAACTTCAACTTTCGATGTTTAAACCTATCAAATCACGTCCGATTGACCCCAAATTTTGCACACAAGTCATATTTGATACTACGGACCTACTCCAACTTCCGGAATCGAAATCCGACCTCGACATCAAAAAGTACACTTCCGGTCAAACTTCTCAAAAACCTTCAAATTTCTGTCTTTAGCCAAATGACTTCAAAATGACCTACAGACCTCCGAATTCACTTCCGATCGCGCTCCCAACTCCAGAATCACCATACGGAGCTATTCCCAGACTCGGAATCCCAAACGGACATCGATAACACTGAAATGCGCTTCAACTCAAACTTATGAAATTTCTTCCAAAATGTTAACTTCCACAATAGGCGCCAAAACGTCCCGGGTTATCAAAAACCCGACCCGGACATACGCCAAGTCCGAAATCATCATACGAACCTGCTGGAACCTTCGAATCTTGATTCCGATGTCGTTTACTCACAAATCTGATCTTAGCTAATTCTTTCAATTTAAGGCTTCTAAAATGAGAATTTTCTTTCCAAATCAACTCTGAACTTCCCGAAGTCCAATTCCGGCGATGCGTACAAGTCATAATACCTAAAGTGAGGCTGTTCATGGCCTCAAACCGCCGAAGAACGGGCCAAAGCTCAAAACGATCGGTCGGGTCGTTACAAACAATCTATTGATCCTACTAGAATTAACAGTTGTATAATCTCGATTTCCTTACCTCTTGTCTCAAAAAACTCCGGACTTCAGCCTTAGATGATTGTTTCTTCTTGCTCTCAATATAGTCTTTCGTCTGAACCATATCCCGGAGAAAAGAAACAATATATCCTAAGATGTTTCAGGTATACAAAAAAAATATGCACTAAACAGATTGCCCAAATATATTTTGAGTCTAAAACAAGATCACATTCAAGTAAGAAAGGGAAAACCTTCACTTCTTCCAAAGAGAATTTAGAATGATCTAAATGCAAAATAATACAAAAATAGCATGCCCAAGCACTAAGCAGGTAGTTAAAATGGAAATTTGAGTCTGAAACAAGATCACTTTAAAGAAAATTCATTGTATTGAACCAGCTACTCAGGTACAAAGCAAACAACAGATACCTTCAAACTTGAGATGAACAGTGTGTCTTGTAAATTGCTGGATCTACTAGTAATCTGATGGACCAAGGAACCAATAGTTGTGTATAATGACAGATAAACTTGCAGCATTTTCAAATGTTAAAAAACTACCTCCTAATAATAAAACAAGCTTCTGAACAAGGAAAACAAGTAACAAAACCTTCATGAGAATCTACTTCAAATATTGAGTAGATAACTTTTTTCTGAAAAGGCTAGCAGAAGTTCAATTCAAATGTAAGTTTGTCTGTGGTAACTACACAATTGCATGGCTCAAAGACATATCATGTACTTTCCACCATTTAAGAATTCGATGTTAAGTATCAAGGTGAAAGAACATTTGCAAGATGAAGCATCACTCAAAATGATACTACAGTCAATTACATAAGAGCAATCCAATCATTCGGCCAATACAATCACACAACTCTATTAGTGGATATAACAGTAGACGACCAAAAATGAAACCATTCCGTAGAGCATCAAATACATACAATCATTGAAGAAAAAAAGCAAGCAAAGCACAGTTCAATTAACTAATTGACAGAGATAAAGTGAACCAACAATGAAACTCTACATTTGGCAAATACGTACAATCGTTGAAGAAAAAAAGCAAGCAAAGAACAGTTCAATCAACTATGTTGACAGAGAAAAAGCGAACCAACAATGAAACCCTATATCCACACGAATACATACAATTGTTGAAGAAAAAAAGCAAGCTAAGCACAGATTCACCAACTATATCGACAGAGCAGAAGCGAACCAACAATGAAAACCTAGATCCACCTAAATAAGTAATCAAAACATAGAGAAATAGAGAGGACCTGACTGAACCTTGATTTAGATGGGAGGACATCATCAAAAAACTCCTCGCAACTTCATCGGAGACCAAAAGCTTCATAGTTTCTTCCCAATCAACGCCACCATCTCCTTGGCGAGAAGAGGGGAAGGAAAGAGAATATAAGAGGAGAGAATAGGAAGTCGACGGTGATCTGGTGTACATGCCGCCGATTTGGTCAATGTTGGGGGCGGGAGAGAGGGTTTGACAAAATTGGGGGTGGGAAAGTGAGAGGAGGGAGTTCTAATTGGAAGAGTGAGATCTTGGATTATAATATGTTGAAATCTAAAATTAATATAGCGGCGGTTCAAAATGTCAATTTTATCTATGGCACCGCCACTTTTACAAATGCAAATATGGCAGTTCTCAAATTGCCACAACATTATATCGAGTATTGCGGCGGTTCTCAGCAACCGCCACACAAAAAAACCGTTGTAATTTCACCGAGTTTTTGTAGTGCATCTATAAAATTCACATTTGATTTATGGTATAGAAATCCGAGTAGGATTGTACTCAGTAAGTCTGCCAGACTTATGTAGTGCATCTAAAGTAACCAATTTGCCTGCCAGACTTATTTTGTTCATAGTAGCAATAAGATCTGAGAAGTATATATACTTAGCGAAAAGAACAAAAAGATAAGTATATATAACCATTGAATAAAATACTACGAATTAGGCGGGATGACTTCATTATTAGCTTTAAATAAAATGTATGATCCTGCATTATATGTGCTCACACTCAACTAATAGGCAAAGGTAATAAAATATTTATTGTCAACTTGATAACATTCTTTATAACTTTCAATTAACAAGGTATGCCTTTTTTTTCTTAGCCAGGATGTAGTTAGCCAATGTTCATGCTAGGTTTAAAATCTTTCACTTTAAATAGAAGTACAGATAACATTTAATCACACGTCTTCTTTCTGGGAAAGAGAAGTGCATCAGAAAGAGATACAAGCTATATTTATTTAACTACTTGGGTTCTTCTTCGGTCATCAAAATTTGACACATGGTTCACTTTTTCTTTTCACCAACTCAACCAACCCCCATCCTCGGATATATCAAGATATCTCTAGACATTACAATCACAACTAATGCTTAATGGAAGGCCCACATAAAAATTCTCAATTAAAACTCAATAAAATCATACACCAAAATAATAAAAAAGAACAACATATTTCTAAAAAAGAATAGTCTGATTTAAATACTAATAACCATGAAGAATGTATTCTCCACTGCTTTGAGATTGTGGAGCTACCGAATCGAACATTCATTTCAAGTCTTCCAGTTTCTTCTAAGTGAGCACTCTACAAAGGAATATCAAATCCGTTTTGTGTTTAAATTGATCAAAAATATTCAAGTGGGTAACCAGTTATAGTGTTATAGAGAAACATTCATCTCTTAGCTAAAGCAAATTGTCGGTTCATGGAATGATTGAGATTGAATATTCTACATGTCAATACTTGAGTTATGGAGTTTAAATCATTATTAACACAGATATGTTAGGAGAAAATTATCGGTCTGCTTGCAAATCTTGAACAAATTTAAATATGTAACCTTGAAAATATAGGTAAGGATTTCTTGTTTCAAATTACCAATGGTTCCAATTAATTTGTCTTTGATACTGATATTGCCTCATTGCAATTTTTTCCAATAATCTACATAAAGGATCCAATGTTTGGCATATGCAGCAAAATCATATGATAGAAGAATTCTTCAAATTTTGAACAATAGAGCTTAAAACTTTCCTTGCAAAGTTACAGCTAGTACCAACATGAGTTACTCATAAAGAATTTTAACTCACCTCATTAGTTGTCTCCATTCCCATTAATTTACAGCAGTAGTCTTTGTTGCCTCTACAATATTTTTGGTTATGATATCCTGAAAGATAAATAAGACTGAGGAAAACATATAACAGATTTAGAAAGTCTTTTTTAATAAATAGCAAACAGTCCATCTAACGGAACTGATGAAGATACTAATTAAATTTAAAGCAGTTCACATTGAGCACAACTGAATCAAAAAATAAAAATATAAGTGTCATTGCTAATAGACAAAAAACCCTCCTCCTTTATCCGGGCTTGGGACCGGCTGTGTCACAGTATAACTTGAACATAGGCGGAGTTAAAAACATAATTTTTTCTAGAGGTGAGGATCATGCATATCAACTTTACAGAGTTACAAAATCACAGAAATATGTGATAACCCTTTGTATTTAAATTTGCAAACACGAATGCTTTCACTGATTGGGTCTTGAAGAGTTTTACAATATAAACACCCTTATCTGTATATTGCGCATAAAAACCTATATCAGAAGAATGAAAGTGTTACAATGATTTGCAGGTAAATTAAATAAGCTAACTCTTATTTACGTCCTACCAAATTGCAGGAAAATTGTTTCAAGACCCAAAGAAAACATTAAAATAAATATAAGTAGAATAAGTAGAAACGAAAATTGTTGCTTCATTTTCTAAGAATAAGTGAATGAGGAGCAGCAATCAGCAAGATAAATATACACCACATAAGCAATATAAATAAGGAAGCTATAAAGTTATAGAAGGGCTTTTTGAATGATTTTCTTATACACTATGTTATATGTAGACTGGTCATCATCGCTATTTGTCGTAGGTGGTCGTATTAATATTTTTATACAGCTTGAACGCTTTGCTCTGGATAAAGCAACATATAATTGGTCATGAGAGAACACTGGTTTGCGTAAATAAATTCCAACATAGTCTAATATTTGTCTTTGTGCTTTATTTATCGTCATAGTGAAACATAGGCGTAGTGGGAATTGTGTTCTTTTAAATGGGATAGGTAATTTCTCATCATCTGAAGATAATAACGGCATTCTAGGAATAAATACATGTGTATTCTTAAAATCATCACTCGTAATTTTAGCGCTTATCACACGAGTCTTAAAATTACAGCATATCAGTCGTGTACCGTTATACAAACCTTCACAAGGATTTAAATTTCGCAGCAATATAAAGGAACAATTTTCTTTCAAGATTAGTTTGTAAGGAGGCAGACCAGCAGGGTTCAATGAATTTAGAAAATCCTCAAGCTGGCTTTGATCATTCAGTTCAATAATCTCATCAGTGGCAACAAATGCCTTAGCATCTTTAGGAAATAGAGTTATAAGTCTATCTTTCAATTCATCAACAAAGTTATTTTTTGCTGTCAAAATAACACGAGAGATTAAAAAGGAAGAATCATGAAAAGACGTATGCAAATCGGGATATATTATGTTGAATAAGAGGTCCAACGATTCTTTTTCAGTAATATAAGGAACAATGAAAGATGTCGGAATTTCTATTTTGTCATCCGTGTTTGTCTTTTCTGTTCCATTTCCAATTCGCATCAAATATTCATAAAAAGAGGGATCAGTTTTCGCACGCATATTCTCTGATAATCGGAGTTTTTCAAGCTCATTCCATATTTCGGAGTTCAATATGCTTTGCCGAATGAAGTCTTCCTTCTTTCCACTTCGAACCACAGGAAGAGTTTGTCTAAAATCTCTTCCAAATACTATAACTTTTCCACCAAAAAGAATATTTGTTTCCATTATATCTTTTAGGAGTGAATCTAAAGCTTCAATCATATTCTTTTTTGTCATCGATACTTCATCACATACAATCAATTTTCCATCGCGAATTAAAATGCTAGTGAGCTCTGCTTGCTGATATTGCAAGAAAAAATTTCATCGATATTAATCGGAATTTTAAAACGTGAATGAGTTGTTCGTCCTCCTGGCAGGTTCGAAGCTGCAACGCCATAAGTTGTTGTTGCTAACGCTACAAATCCTGTAGATCTCACAGTTGCTAATAAGGCACAATATAAGAATGTCTTACCACTTCCTCCAGGACTATCAATGAAAAATGCTCCAGATTTATTGGCAAATACTCTCTCGAGAATTATGTCGTATGCTATTTTTTGTTCAGCATTTAATTTTCTATGTAATAATAAATCTTCATCGCTCACAATGATGTTTTTTTCGAAATACACTTCCTTTGCTTCATTTGCTATATTTGAAGATGTGATCATTTCTGAAATAAGGTTGAAATCATTAATATCACGTCCCATAGAATGTAGTATGTCATTGATGTGATTCAAGACAGCAAGATGGATATCCGTTGGCCTTATTTTCGCTAGGCTCTTAAAGTCTTCGGACATTTAATCTTCAAAGTGTTCTTATAGTTCTCTTGGATATCAGGATTGCAGTATACTAATATTGTAGAAAATAAACGTCTTAAACTATATGGCATTTGATAACAAGCGGCCTCTGACATACATTCGACTAAGCTGTTATCACAATGCAACAATCCTCTTTTTTCTGCAGATTCTCTAAATGTGTCACAATATATTCCATTTACTGTCAGAAGATCTTTATATGATTTTGGTGCTCTCACATTCATTAGTAATAATCTAAGGTAATATCTTTCTCCTTCTGTTGGATGATACGTTACAACACGGCCGATAACATTAACTCGTTGTCGTCGAGTCCATATTTTATATGTAGATGACCATACGAAGTATTGTGGAAAATCTTTATAGAATAATTTAAGTTGTTTAGCATCTTTATTTGTTTCATTCATCAAAAAATATTATGTCAACATCGTCTTTTTAAGCATAGGATTTTTCACTATACTGTCTATCGTGTCAGTTTTTTAAAAGAGACAAACTGTAATCCGTCAAGATGTAAATGGAGGTGATAAATACTTGGTGTCATTTCGCTAATAGGAAAAGAAAATAAGCGCCGCAGAGCTTCTGGAGCTGACACCCATCTAGCAGATCGATACTCTTTTATCTCATCTATCTGTAAATTTGTGTTATCTTCGTGTAAGCCAAACGAAATCTTATCGTGTCCTTTACAGATATATTTGTATATATATTTGACAACTTTAATATCTGAGAAAACCTCTACATTTATATGGCAATTGTATTTACAGAGCATATAAGGATTGTACGGAACAACTCATGAGTTATCAAGAAATTGTTTCCTAACTTTCACAAATTTACCAGTGTTTCGTCTTCTATAAATTGGGTATGAGTTCTTTCCTTTCGTTGTCTCATCAGCAAAGCTCTTCGGGTACTTAAATTTGCACTCATTTCTTTTCATACATGAATTTGTAGGATCCAAATGACCACAAGGCCCATGCATCATGTGTTTAATAACAAGCTTATGCAAGTAAGAGTTCATATCAGGATCAGGCACCTCAGCACTAACAAATTTGTCACAAGTCTCGGACGTCAATTTGTAGTCATCAGTAAGTATAACAAGAAAATGAGCATGTGGAAGACCGTGTTTTTGGAATTCTATAGTGTACATAAAAGCTGCAACTTTTCCAAATATATTTCTTTTTAATATATCTGTTTTCATCTCTTCTACTTTTGCTCTAAACACTCGACTAACTAAATCAGACCTATTTTGAGTTTCATCTGTTGTGAGCAAATGTTCCTTTATTTCAGGCCAAGAGGGATTGCATGTCATAGTCAGAAATATATCAAGCTTTCCAAAATGTTGTACTAATGCAATAGCATCTATATAAAGCTGGCGCATATCTCTCGGACCTCCCGTAAAATTTGTCGGAAGAAAGTTTTGTTTTCCTATTTAGAAGCTTCTCTTTACCAAGTCTCAGGATATCCAGAAGTCTTTGTAATACATCAACCCGAAATAAATCTTGGTTAAATGAGGCAAAATCTAATCTCTGAGTTTCTACTTTTATGAATTCATCAACTGAGTAGTATTGAAATAATCTGCCAGAATATAAAACTTCATTTTCCTCATTGTCTCTCATCTATAGTTTGTAACAAGTATTCACGACAAGAAATATTATTCCTTTTTCGTTTTCCTTTTTGCAAAACATCAGCTTCCATATCAAGTAGTCCGTCAATTGAACACATGTTACAAAGGCTTGGAAGTTGCTCAGTCTCGTAGTAAGCTCATTTTTTCAATTTATTCCTAGGCTGTAAGATTTTTGGGATACCACAATGCCACCAATTTTGACTGTAAGGGAGTAAAATCGGATATTGCAATGGATCATTGCAACCATAATAGTAATTTACTATTTGACTTTTGTTATTGTGAGTGTAAATTCGGATATGCGGTGAACAAATATTGTTGTTCGTTTCTTGTTCTAGCCATAATGCTACTACTTCTGACACAGTTGACAGATTATATACTCTCTAATCTAAGCTAGAACCACATCTCAATGCAGCGTAAAAATTTGATAATTCCGGGATATGTATCAGAGATTTCAAGAAGATACCGTAAGGATTTATCTTTAGTATATCCATCAGCTTCTCAATGATCGACTGTCGAAGTATATCCGAGGAAGCCATTCGATTCAATATTTCTATGTTCTCATCGTAAAAATACAGCTGTAAATTTCTTGGTTGTCGATTTGTTGGAATCAAATCATTTATGAAGTGATACAGACCTTGTACCCTAAATGTATACATTTCGTGGTTTCTTTTTGCTATTACTTTGTCATAGTTCACCCCAAGTGAAGTGAAGGCAAACATATTATTATACAGTCTAATGTAGGTACGAAAATGTTCACATTCTTCGGTATTGCCTAAGTAGAGATTTAATAATTCATAGGGCATTTCATATGACGTCAACTTAACCGAACCATTGCTACAACAAAATTCTGCTGATTCATAATCAAACCTTTTAGCTCCACAATATTTACAATTTGGTACAGTTTTCAAAATGGTTGCATTACTGGGCAACTGTTTGAAATTCCAACAACCTATTATCTTTGATCTACAACCTGTGTATATAAGTTGTTGGATATCATACAAGTATTGAGAAAAGATATATGGCTAATATTGTTAAAAGAGTACCAAGACAAACCTCTTTTTATGACAACGGATACCTCGGGATCACGCCGTTCATCGAGTGGATTTGATGTGGAACCTAATATGCAAATCATTATAACTGATATATGAAATATTTCAAGTGAACTAAAATTGAAACTGCATTTTAATAGTCACTAACCATATTCGAATACAGAAACGGAGCCAATTATATTCTTCCCTTTGTTAGAACAAACTGTTGTGTCGTCCGCGCAAGATTTATCGGCTACATAGAAGTGAACGCATGTTAACATTAACAATACATATGTAGGTAAAATCCCAAAAATAACATCCAAAATTCTATATACATAAGAGTTATATTTCTTTTCCTAACCTTTTTCATCAAGGCAACATGATTCCCCTATTGTTAGTATTCTCTGTCTAGGTAACTCGGCGGCAGTTTCAGAAGATGATGCTACTTCAATATGTTCAAACAAGAGACCTTGGCTTGTCGACTCAATATTTTTTGATCGTCGTTGTGCTAAAAGCATTTCTTTTTTATCCGCTGACTGATTTGCATACACATCATGTCTCCTGAGCTTGAGTTTAGAAGCTCTTTCTGCTGAGTAATGTCGCTTCCTCTTCTGGAAAAGACAGCTTTGCGTCGTGGCTTTTATATCGATAGGCATCTGTATTTGAATAACTTATACATTTTTAACATGACATCTCTAATACAAATCAAAAAACAATTAATCTGACCATCAATAATGAGCGAAAATGTACTGTAAAATGCATTGCAAAATGAAGAAATTTAAAAAGAACACAAATATCCCTAAAGACAATATATAAGCGAGACCCAGAGCAGACAACGTAGAATCAAATATTGGAACATTCCTACAATATATGAAACCCATCACTTTAGGTGAGCCTCTAATATACCTAATGTGTTATTAGTTTTTCTTTTTCTTCCTGTTTAGTATATGTGTAATTAACCACCAAGTTGATCGTTTAGGAAGGCCAAAATTAATTACAACAAAATATATGCCAAAACAGTCTATAAATTATGAAAAGAGCAGAAGAATCCGTCTAAAATACACACATGTCGTAACTCTCATAGAGATATATCAAAATCCAAAAAAAAATATTTATCACCAAATAAACTGATAGAAAACAAAACAAGAAGCGCAGAAGTTGAAACAAAAGGAACATGACAGATTGAATAGGGAAGGAAGCGAAAAATATTATTGTTATCGTCAAAACACTGCAAGGCCTCATATGTGCATATCGCTATATCTATGTTAAAGATAGTGGTGCATTGGCCACGCTCAAATCCTAGGTCCGCCTCTGATTGACTTATATTTTATAACACATACAACAGCTGGTACCAACCATCCTATCAGCCTCATCAAACTCAGTCTTGAAATGCTAAGCTCTATGATCCAGTAAAACTTGATACATAACAGAAATTGTCACATAATTTGTGCCATAAGTAAATGACTTAATCATGAGGAGTTTATTAGTGGGACATAATGAAACTTGCTTGAGTTCCCATATTAATGGAGGTCATTCATTCAAATGATCATTCCAAAAGGAGAAGTTAATACAGAAGTTCAAGAAATGGGTAGAAGAATGTGATAAAATAAAACATGAAACTAATTGCTTTAAAAGACATTCTGTTTCTGATTATACTCAGGAATTAATGCTTTCTGCTACAGAGTCATGTTCTAGTGCTTAATTATGTGTATTTGTAATTCCTTCATGATTTGTCTGCTTGCAATATTGGATGTTAGATTAACTCGGTAGCTTCTAACTAATGAAAATGACACAAAACTTGGTTCTCTTTTAAATACATTGTGAGATCTCGAGGGCGGGGCAGGATATAAGTATATTAAAATATCTCTTATTAAATATATATAAATACTGAATTCCAAAATCAATAACATAAATAGTCAATGTTGTTTAGTGACACTTCGAACCCATAATCTTCAAATCTTTGGTTCACCTCTGTCCATACTATCAATGCTTAAGCTACGTTTCTGAACATGCTTTTTTTCTAAGAAAAAGCAGATTGTATATAGTTGGTCAAATTTACTTACTAGTACCTCTAACATTCAACAATCACTTAATTTTTGGTAATAGACAGAAAAAACAGATGTTAATGCGATTTGCATGGTAAGTGAAATTCATAGGGTAAAATCCTTTGAACTTGAGGAAATATGCAAACTTAAATCACTGTTCCTTTCACGCTACTTTCAGATTCAATTCAAACACACATGAAAAAAAAGTAAATTGAGATCTTACAATTTTGAAAATACAGTAATTAATAATCCCATCTAACTCTACAATAGAAATCAGTGCGATTAGATCACTACAAAAGATTTGCTAAATGACCGAAATAAATGACCTTGATCGACATTTCATCTTCTTCAAAATACATAATATTCATAAGTTTACTAACTAAATATTAAAAATTTATATTCTAAAAAACTATAATTCACTGGGTGAAAGAGAAACGTACCAGTAATTTGGTCGGAGGGTCAGAGATCGAACAAAGAAACAAAGGTATTCGATGATGTTTACTACCGGCAAAAAAACAAAGTACAGGCGAAGAGAAAAGCAGAGTAAATAATTAAATAGAAATTGAAGTGGTCACTTGTCCTTCTTAACCTCAAGTTGTAGGCAGATTTCACGTGCAAGGCCTTGTAGAGTCAACACGTATTAAAATTGTGCTACATGAAATGACCAAAAAGGACCTTGGTCGGCAAGTTGGCAAGACAACGCCCAGCTGCTTCCAAGCCTCTTTTATATATATATACATATGGCAAAACGATTGAAAATAAAGTAAACAATAGACACTTGTTAGGAAAAATCAGTTTGAATATTAGATACTAATAGGAAGGATCATCACATCTATTCAAGTAAATTTAGCATTTTTGTGTAATATTTTTATATGTAAAGTATTTAAATTATTTAAAAGGGTATTTTAGTAATTTGACTCTTAGCTTAAGGGCTTCCCACTTTTAATATAGATATAGATATAGATATAGATATAGATATAGATAACCCATATTTCAATTTACAACCAACAAGCCCAAAAATAATAGGCTAAGATTCAACATACAACTACAATAGGTTCTCAAAATTACTATTTAATTTTTAAAAAAGATTCCTCAAGCTTTTAAATTAATTTTTGAATTAGTAAATGTGACTCAAATATTAGTTCAACAAACCAAAATCATTTGGGTTGTGAAAATTAGATTTTTAACAAGCTTAAATATGTGAATTTAAATTCCGAATTTGATTTTGTGAGAAATTTGGAGTGGATGTTATTTAAACTTGTCAGAAATAGCATAAGGAGGTTGTATATAAAATTTGAAGTCATTTAATGGAGATTTGGACTGGTTTTGAAAAAGAATTGCAACTAAAAATCGTGGAAGAAGATCATCTACAGACGCTTGTATAAAAGTGTATAAGGTGTGTTTCTACACTCATGTAGACCATTATACAAAATTATACATAATTATATAAAAAACTGACTTCGTCTTCTTCATTGTGTCTTTTTCTGAAATTTAACTCAAATCTTGTTGAAATCAACTCCAAATCACTTCAAATTTAAATTTTGAACTCCTTTTGTTATTTTCAATCAATTGGAACAACAACCAATCCAAACAACTAACAAATTCAAAAAAATTATTTTCGAAAACAAAGCTTTGAATGGTCTTCAATGGTGAAATTCTACTCTTCAATTTTGTTACATTGCAAGTAGGTGACACAAGAGGAGAAGCAGAAAATACACGGCCCCTTGAAGCATATGTAGAAGATGTGAGAAGAAGAGAGAGTGAAAACAATGGTTGTGAGAACATAGATTTAACTCCATAGCTTTTATAAGCAATGGTTGTAAGAACACAGATTTTGAATTTGCTAGTGCTTTCAAAATATGTATAATGTGGGCTAGGTCGGGTAAAACTTAAAAACATGGACTATTTTTTTTTTATTATGGTGTGAAGTCTTTTGTATTTTTTTGTAATTCTTTCTTAATTTTACTGCTTTATTCTGGGATTATTATTCGAAAGAATTACAAGAAAATACCCATGACTTCACACCATAACAAAAAAATGGCCCATATTTTTAAGTTTTACCCGACCAAGCCCACATTGTACATATTTTGAAAGCACCAGCAAATTCAAAATCTGTGTTTTTACAACCATTACTTTTAAAAGCTATGGAGTTAAATCTATGTTCTTACAACCATTGCTTTTACTCTCTCTTCTCACATCTTCTACATATGCTTCAAGAGACCGTGTATTTTTTGCTTCTCTTCTTGTGTCACCTGCTTGCAATGTAAGAAAATTGAAGAGTAGAAGGCAACCATTGAAGACCATTCAAAGCTTTGCTTTCGAAAATGGGATTTTTTGAATTTGATAGTTGTTTGGATTGGGTGTTGTTCCAATTGATTGAAAATATCAAAAGGAGTTCAAAATTTAAATTTGAAGTGATTTGGAGTAGATTTGAGCACCGATTTGAGTTAAATTTCAGAAAAGACGCAATGAAGAAGACAAAGTCAGTTTTTTGTATAATTATGTATAATCTTGTATAATAGTGTATATGAGTGTAGAAACACACCTTATGCACTATTATACACCTTTATACAAGCGTTTGTAGACGAAATTATTCCACGATTTTCAGTTGCAATTCTTGTTCAAAACCAGTCCAAATCTCCATTAAATGACTTCAAATTTTATATACAACCTCATTATACTATTTCTAACAAGTCTAAGTAACACCCACTCCAAATTTCTATTTAAATCAAATACGAAATTTAAACTCACATATTTAAGCTTGTTAAAAATCTAATTTTCACCACCCAAATAAATTTGGTTTGTTGAACTAATATTTGAGTCACAGTTACTGATTCAAAAATTAATTTAAAAGCTTGAGGAATCTTTTTTAAAAATTAAATAGTAATTTTGAGAACCTATTGGAGTTAGATGTTGAATCTTACCCTATTATTTTTTGGCTTGTTGGTTGTAAGTTGAAATATATGTTATCTATACTATATTAAAAGCGCGAAGGCCTTTAGCGAAATGTCGTTCGCCTTTTTTACCCTTTAAAAATAACTTTCACATTAGACAAAGTTGTAATTTAATTATTCTCCTAATATATAGGATTTTAAAATTAAATAAAATTTTGTTTATTAAATTTTTCCTTATTTGAACTATGTAGAAGCTCATAATATTTAGAATTATTGAAATTTACTATAAATAAACAACTTTGACATTTCTAGATCCTTTTACCCATAAAAAACAACGTACTTCAAAATCAGAAAAAGAAAAAATTAATTTGAATTAAACTATTCAAAATGCGTAGGAAGGAAATTATATCTACTTTCGCCTTTGAAAGATGTTCATTTCTGACAACCAAGCAGTAACCAAGGATCTGTAGCAAATTTTATTATCAATTGATTCCTTTGAAATAAATTTTTTTAAAAAAAGTATCCTAAATGTAAATAAACAAGAAAATTATTTCTTTAAGAAGGAACAAAGTTGTCTTTGAAGTATTTAACAATTCCTAATTTATATAAAAAAGAAATATCTTGAGTATAATTACATTTTTTTCTAAAATGAATTATGAAATACACTTTGATTTACATGGTTAAATTCTAATTAGAACCGTCAATATGGGTTTGGCCCGTTAGGTCAGCCCGGCCCGTTATTTAGGAGGGTTGTGCTAGAATTTTTAAGCCCATTTAAAATTAAGGCTTTTAATCCCGACCCGAGTAAGCCCGTGGCCCGAGAGGCTTGACTGAGATTGGGCTGGGCCGGCCCGTGGGCCTAATAAAAATATATATTTGAAATATATAATATATAAAAACTATACGACACAAAAAATATCAAGAAGAGTATCCAAGCTTAAAGTTTATTAAGCTCATCATATTAAAAGATCAAAGTCATAAAACGTTAATTAATTTTAAAAATTTAATTATTCTTAATATTTAACTAATTAATATTGCATGCGAATTGTAGATGTAGATGAAAGTGAAGATATTAAGACAACTTTCTCACAAGCGAATTCAAATATGTTTGATAAAAATGATGTGTTGGATCCCGTAAGCATAATGGATGTTCTCTTGAATAGTTTGTTTTGAGTTTTGACTTTTAGTGAACGAATAATTAGTCTTGTCTTTTACTTTTATTAGTGTTTATACTTTTATTAGTGTTTATCATATATTGGAACAATATAAAAAGCTATCAAGTTTTGTGAAATTTTTCCAATATGATTTTTTTAACTTTTAAATATTTATCTTTTTAGGTTAGAACTTAAAGAAAAAATGTAAATTATATTTTTAAAAAATGATGGGCCGGCCCGTGGGGGCCAGCAGTCCAAATAGGGCTAGTGTGGGCTGACCATTATAAAGCTCATCAAAATGGTGGGCTAGCACAGCCCAGCCCGTCAATTGCTAAAGCTCACGTGGGTTGGGTTGGGCTAGCTCGCCCCGCCCATATTGACAACTCTAATTCTAATATAAATAATAAAAAAGGTAAAAGATACCCTAGAACTCCTATAATAAATAAATGAGAAAAATAGTTTTCAAGAAGGAATTAATTTGTCTTTAATTTCTAAAATCTAGGTTAAATAAAAGAGAAAAATATCTTTTCAAGGAGGAATCAACTATTTGTCATTCCAAATTCTCGGCAACTTTGCTACTTATCAAACAAAAACTTAAGAATGGTTTATTTACCTTTTTAATTACTCCTAACATTTTGTTTTAAAAAAAATGTTTTGTTTTTATATTGAACATTTTTTTTTTGGAAAGTGTCAAGTTCATATAATTCAATGTAAGAAAAGAACCATCCTTGCTTTTATATAAAATTATAGTTAATGTGTTTTTGTCTCCAAAAGCAAGAATATTATAACACAAATAATTATTTATGGATGAACATATCTTTTTGTAATGTTAATAGATCATATTACTCTTCAATGATGTACTATTCTTCAAAACATTATACATACAAAAATATAAAATTGTTTAATAATGAATAATAAATAAAACTATAGCATATTCATGGCTCTTTATATAATTGCGGTATCCTCTTTATTGTTCATTTTTTTAGAATAATACAAACTTGTTACATTCAGTTTAACCTTTTAAGTTGTTTCCTATAAAGAAGTTTAGAGGTTACTGCTAATACAAATTAACATATTGTGCTTATTCTGAGCTTTTAAATTAAATACAAAGCTCATGTATCGAAATCCAATAAAATATATCAGGACTTTGTGGGGCGATATTTCTTTTCTTATAGAATTAGTTAAACAAAATTAACATTCATATTTTTAGGAAGTTAACTATTTCCTTTAGTTTAAATTCTATATCTAGATTAATAATATTTATGTGATTTTTATAAAGATTTTGATTGTAATATGGGTACACGTGCAACGCGCTTACCCTAAGACTAGTATATATATATATATATACTATATTAAAAGCACGAAGGCCCTTAGCGAATTGTCGTTCGCTTTTTTTGCCCTTTGTATTGTATTTTAAGTTGGATATAATTGTAATTATAATCACTAATAAATTTTTATTTTTGGAGAAAAAGCAAAGACTGCCGTGTTATAAATATATTATATTATGGATGTTCATTTAGTAC